TATCTTTATTGGATTTTTAAGTAGGTAGGTATAAATTATGTTTTTGACGCTTTCTTTTAAACTTCGTTGTTTAAATGGTGTTTTGTTCATAAAAATAAATGTTGAATTCATAAAATTAGACAAACAATTAATTATTATTTAATTACATTTTTAAACTTTTATTATATTTTAATAAAAAATAAACTATGTTCGATCAAATTGAGTTTTATTATATTATTTCGAATTTAATATTATAACTTTATTTTTGCCTATTTTTCTACCTAGTCAAAATCAAAATATTTTTATTTATTTTAAATAACTATAAAAAATAATAAGTAAAAATGTATTTATTTAAAAAATATCCTTAAATAATTAGAGTTCACCCTACTAAAAATAACAGATCATTAAAATATCGAAACACTTAGTATTAATATTGTACGATTATAAAAAGACAACTATAAATAATTATAATTGTATTATAATATTGATTAATAATGAACTTCAAAGTAAGAAATGTAGAAAAATATTCATAATTTGTAAAATATTCTGTCAACAATATTCATGTAAAACATATTTATTATAATTTCAATTGTATGTCACTTTTTTCTATTGGTTATACTATGTAAAGGACTTCGGTTCGTTAAATTAAGCTAACTAATGTGTATTCATTGTTGCTTTAAAATAAAATTAAAATAAAATATTTAAATCATATAACATATTATAGTTTTGACATAAATTAAATTGTATAGTGAAATTTAATCACAATACTATCATACCTTCAACCGTGTTGTTGACATTTTGTCATGTATAAACTTCAGAACGTATCTTACGCTAATTTATTTGAATTCGGAATGACGAAAATGTATACATATATATTTTTTTAATCTTCCATGCTTAAGGTTAATAATATTATTAAATAAAATAAAAATCTTTGGACGACTGTGACAGATTTATTATGCAACCCTGTCTCTTATATAATATATATTTTATGAATACATGTCGTTAGTCAAATGTCAACGCAGTGGTACACGATACGCGCACACAATACATTAGAATATATTTTTATGCAACAATAAAAAAATCATTTTTTCTCTAAATATATTGTTTAAAAATATTCTACTTTATATCGGTGAACTTTAGAACTTTCAAGACGTATTTTTTCTTTTATTTATTAATCAATAAATAATTCAATTAATCGTGGTAGGATTACAATATAAAATGTTAATCATAACATGCGCATAAATAATATAAGTGTATTAACGCGCACATTAAATCCAAATAATCTTTGCAATGTCAAAACGTGAAAACAATAAAACGATCAACATTAATTAAATTTAATTATATATTATTTAATTTAATTTAATATAAATTTAATTATATATATTTAATTAATTAATATTTAATATCAATTGATAGAAATTGTACGTATCAATTTTCATTTTCAATGGATATGTTTAAACAGTAATTAGTTTTTAGATCGACTTGATTGATCATTTTCTGCTTTGATTCATATTTTGAACGGAAATGTCATTCTTTTATAACGTAGAATGTCGCAGATTTTCAATAATTCAATCATAATAAATTACTGACAAAACTATACTTACTTTATCATGAATTATAATTATAATAACATATCTAAGTATTTTTATTTCAAATACAATTTACAGTAATTAAATTTCAACTTTAACTATAAATGAAAGAACATTATTTGATGCAATGAATTTGACAATAAACATATTTTTTTTCGTCTAGTGAGCTCCAATTGACAAAATTATTCGGTAAATTCTTTATTCTTGTGAATTAATAGAAAAAATCCAGCATAATATTTTATTATTCATTAATAATCGCTGTAAAATATGTTTTTAGTTAATATAAGCGTAATTCTTTTACGATTTCCATTTAGCCTCACTTTTTTTGGACTTATTTGCTTAACAAATTAGTTAATAGAAAATATATACTCTCCACTTCTAGGGTAAAATATTTTAACATATGTTTATTTAAATTTTTTCCCCCCAAAAGTAGAAAAATAAACAAGTAAAGTTGGTATGTTTTCATCAGACAAGATATCGAAATTTAAATTGAATTTAAAATATTAAAATGCAAACAGCTTATATTTTAAAATTCAATATTTTACTCGTTTTTCAGAATTTTCATTATTTTATAAATTTATACATTGAATTATAGAATGTACAGAATTGTATCACTTAAATTTAGCTTTAGAACATGAACTAACACCTATAGTTATCCAGACCTATGTTCTTATAAACACTATGTAGTATTTATCATACAGACGCCAACAATACCCTACTCCAATTAAGCAACTGCAGTTATACGAAAAGTTATTTCTGTATAGTTTTCATTTGATCAACAATAAAATATAAACGTTTGTTGAAACATTATAATAAAATGAAAAAAAAGATAAAAACAATAGTTTTAAAATAAATTTTGAAATATTTAGTACAAAATAATGATTAAAATATGATTTTAACAAAATAAAATACAATATTTTTTATTTAGTATTATGACACGTATGTTTTATTATTTAATGTAGCCTAAAAGTATTCAAACGAAGCATACTGTAATTCAATATAAAATTACGTTTAATGAACACTACTTTTAAATTTTAAAATTTAGATAAAACGGTTTTCGTATTAGGAAAATATTTTTTCATACAAATATAGCTAAAAGGATAATGAGACTTATTAAATATGTGTTTTCGAGCATTTTAAATAAATTTGAATTGATAATTTATAATATTTCTTTGATAATTGTTGTGCACAGATATTAAATTCATTCATATAAACCGAACTCTTGTTCGTTTCTAAGACGTTTTACTTTATTTAATTAACGTCAGCTCTATGAATATTAATATTTGAAATGATATCAATTAAAATTTGGGATTTCTTTGTCAAATAAGCATTGTGAAGTTCTAAACTCGGACAAAAGTGATAAACAAAATACCTTTCACGAATATTATAAGCTCTATCACGCACTATAGTTATTATTTCGATTTAATAAAAACTTTTGTGTGAAGTATATTGTTCACAATTAGTGCTCATACATTTTGATAAAACAATCATTTTCGGTATTAATTATTCAACATTCGTAAAACGAAATTAATTTAATTGAAAATTCAAAGATATTTTTTCGTTCAGTCATTTTTATGTTTTCATTTCGAAACTATATAGCAAATTTTAAATCACATATGCTTTTATTTACAATTTAAATGCATATGTGAAGGTTTATTGTATTATTATATTTAAATAACGAAAATAATAAATGTTTGATAAAATGAAATATTAATGTTTCACTAATTTAATAATTTTTATCATAACCAGTCAAGTATAGAATTCACCCTATGATTTATTAGTTAATTATGTTTATTACCCAAAATTCAACAAAATATTAAATTTAAATTCTATAAAATGTGATAAACGTATTGATATATTGCATAATATGTTTAATGTACAATACGGCTACGACTGTTTGTAGTGCGACGTAGTTTTCATCGAGGTGTAACGGATACGTAGGTATTAATCACCCTCAAGAGACGGTTCACCAGTAAAGTAAGTGAACAAAATAAATCTGGAAATTAGTAAGATATCTAAGGAACCAATCCAAAATTTGCGATGTTTATGTAATTTTTCTTTTTAACAAAGTCTCTGGTCGTATTCATGTTGAACTTGGATTCCATGTCCCTCGTGTATAAAATTATTTCATCCGCAAAAGTTATTTATTTGTAACAATTATATATATATATATATATATATATATATATGCATGCGTGCATGCGTGCGTGTGTGTGTGTGTATTTATCACATAATTTGTTTTGGACATTTAAATCAAATCAAAAGAAGTGAAATAGTATTATTATGGTATAGTATACCTACTGTATAATTGATATTCATCAGTATTAACTATAATAGTGGTGTGCGCGTAACCGTAATATAGCCGATACCCACACAATTCGTATTATAGGTGTCTAATTTAGTGTATAACTGTAATATTAAGCGACAGGATTTGAATTCGTAATGTGTATCCATTTGTATTGTATTATATGCCCGAATGGGAAACTTCTATGATAATTACATAATTTGATCAGATATTAAAGATATATCAGATCCTTATCCGGGGGATCGGGTTGTCAGATTTTTACGTTGCCCGTGAAGATTTCTGCAGGTCAAAGGTGATAACAAATGTTAAACTAAATTTCAAAACTTTTCGCTCTCCTACAAGGTACAGTGGTTTATGATGATATAATGTGACGACAACGGTCAATGCACGCGAAGACGATCCGAAAGAAACTAAAGTCTTGATAATAATATTGTTTTAACGTCTTACACTAAACGTTCAACTATTTTAAGGGTGAATGTATTTATATTATATATAAGTCACGTGGAGCACGAAATATTAGTAATGAATAATAATAAAAAAGTGTTGCTGTAACATGTTATACGAGCGTTGTGAAGAGTGAAATCATCGTTTATCTCAAAATCACTATCATTATGTTATGAACATGTGCGTTGTGTACGAATTCGCCACCGTTTCCAAATTCGCCGAACGAGGTGGAAATGACAGTATTTTTTTCGCTCGCTTTTACAACAGGTACATACAGGTATTATTTACAAACAATCGTACATCAATAGATCAGCGATATTCCGTCATGGAACCCGTCGACCGATGTTTCACGTGTTTTGTGAACTTTTTTTTCCTGTCGATCTAATCGTTTCTTTAAAAACGCATACAGGACCCGAACGTTAACCGGGTAAGAAAAGGGAAAAATGGCACCACGCGGATTGTTCGGTGCACGTGAACGGCCTCGTGAGTATTGTACGCCCGGAGGATCTTTTCGACAGTGAGCTCTATTGGCCGGACGAATCCAAATTTTCCGAAGGGATCCGGTGGCGGGATTAAACACCGGGTCGGGAGGGGGGATGTAACCGGAACGCTCGCACGAAGGGCAGGTTAGGTATAGAGAGAAGGTTAAGCATAGACGGTGAAAACGGTGCGCAGACACTTACGGACGAGTAACAGGTAAACGAATACGGCGTGCAGCGACGACGACGACCGGAACATGGCCATCGCGGTGGTCTCCGCTCGGACGGTGTATCTGGTCGGTGTTACCGATGCCGTTCCTCAGCAGCTCTCGCGTGGACCCAAAAAGCGCACCGAGTCCGTAACACCGCCGACGGTGACCGCTTTTTTTACGTACGACGCGCACGAACGGTTCCCGCGCAACGTTGTTCCCAGTCGTGCGGATCACGTGTCACAGGGACACGTCCCGAGGACAAGACGGCGTGGCGCGCAGTTGACGGCACCCTGCGTGAGGGGTGGAGGGATAGCGCGCGCGCACCACGCAGATGCAGAGGGAGGGGAGCCGTGCGAACGTGAACAAAAACGAACGATGCGTTCACCACCGGTCCGTGCCCGGGGCCAGCGCACTATCGCCTCCGGAGCGAAACATCGTCATGGTCCGACTAAGCCGCAAAACGTATCGCCGATGCCGAGAACCACCGAACGTCTGTCGGCCGGCCGCCGTCGAGTCCCGCCGGCCGCTCGCTACGCGGTCGGTGGTTCGCTCTCTCCGCTGCCGACCCTCTCGCGCACCCGTCGTCCACCCACTCTCTTATAGCGCTTATCGCCCGGTCTCCCACGCGCACGCTCCGGTCCCACACTCACGTCCTCGTGTCCCTTACGTTTTCCTTCCGTGCCGTTTGACCCCCCCCCCCCCGCCGTTGTCTGCAGTCCGTCCCCCCTTTCCGTCCCTTCGGTGGCCGTGTGCACGGGTCTGCAAAAAAAAAAAATTACGTCCATTAGAGACGTCAAAAGAACAATTGCTCGACCATCACCACCACCACCACCGCTACCTGACCTGTATCCGTACCCAGTGGAGAGAATCGTCTGGATAATAATATTAAATATCTATTATTTTATCCGCATATAAATGTTAACTTTATCCGTTTATCCATCTTAAATGAACATCTACCGTTTGTTTGTCAAGATATTTTTATTTTTTTATATAATATTCAATTAATATTTCGAGTGCTCCTGTGACTCGGAAATTTTTGCGCTCATCGACTGAGTCAACTTCGACAATGATATTCAATAATGAAAATGTATATTCAAAATTAATATGATTGAAAAAGTATCCATAAGTTTTCCTTAATTTTAACGAACGTTATATCCCAATAAGTAAAGTTATGATATTCATGACTTTTGCATTTTTTTTCCTTTTATCGTATACAAAGGAAAAAAATAGTAAAAAATAGCTAAACATTTTTTTTATCCTTCTTTAATTCATAATATATTGATTTAATTTTGCATTTTTTACTAAAAATGCATATTTTTTTTGGTGTTTTTTAAACGTAATTTTTTATATTTTACATATTTTAGGTCATTTATTATAGTTTTATACAATGTGGGAGTAATTTTTCTCAAATTTTCGATTTTGAATAATAATAAAAAAAAATAATAATTTGATGCCCTAGGCCAGAGATCGACCACCCATGGCCCGCACAAAGGTGGTTAATTTTTGTGTTTTATTTTTGTTCAATAAAATTCTTCATACAATTTTCAATACTACTCAATTCTTTTTTTCTTTATAAATAAAATCTAATCTAATCGTTTAATCTATGAAATTGTTATTATTATCCAATATATTTAATCTGTGGTCATAGTTACTTTGTGTTTGTAGCAATTAGTATTACACTACACCGTGATTACACCCGTACATGTGACTGCATTTGTCATAGTTTCATTTTACGAGTAAATCCAAACATAATGGCAACTAAAAAAGAAAAATTTGTAATGAACATCCTTTTTTTAATAATTCTTGGGTTGATTTATACTTTTTTGTCGAAAACAAAGGTAAGCCATTATGTTTAATTTTTCAAAAAATTAAATTTTTTCTTTAAAGCAATTTTTTCCAGTAACATTCATATTTTTTCACTCGTATTTCTATGTGAAATAATCAAATATAATAGCAATACAATTATTGGTATATATCATATGTAATTTTTTTTTTTTAATGTGGTCCTTGATAAACATTTGAAAAAAAAATATGGCCCACGTGGTTCAAAAGGTTGCCGACCCCTGCCCCAGCAAAAGCATTACTATTTCCTTACTCCTAAATATATTTATTTTAACTTGACAAATAGTGGGCCCTTTTAATAGAGTATTGACCAAATGTAGCTATTATTGAACTAGCGCAGATATATAAATTGAATTATATATCTACGGGATCCACCAAGAATAATCATACACATACTCGTATATAATAACCACAATTGTAGCTTTTTTGGTTATGGATAACAGTTAACAATCATCATCATGATCATCTACTTTTTTTTGGTAAAAAATATCAAACTATTCTCGAAAATCCACGCGGATCAGTTTTATTTTCGTTAATTTTATGTTAATAAATTGTAAAATATCGTGATACCCTAACGGCTAATCGGGTAAACATGTCGCCCAATAATTCTCCAGTGACGTTTCGTTAACGTTTTTCCAGCACAATTAGTTCCGCCACGGAAAGTGTCAATGTTTATACGTGCTGAGACGATATTACACGGTCAACGACCCATTTGGATTCACCACCGATCGGCCAATTAGCACATATACAGATATAAATTTATCATGTAATTTATTCAATTTTTATATGTGTTTTGTAGCTCTTCGTCGTATCGTGTGTTATGTATTCGAAAAGTCCAGTGTGTGTGTATTATTGTAATTTTCATGTATGATTTTTTTTTCTCTTGTTTCGCGAAAACATTAAGTTGTGTAAACGCAAAGCGTCACTGATTTAATTTTTACCTTATTGTGTTGGCGTGAATCGCTACAATTTTATGATTCTTTTACAGACGCGAATCGACACATTTTTTTATTATTGATTGATAATCTAGTGAACATGATATAATTATTGTCTTGTATCTACATCATTATATTTATATACTTGTTTATTATTAACGAGAGCGATAATCGCCATGACTTAGCACAGGGGTTCCCAACCTTTTTATCATGGAGTACCACAAGGAAATTTTATAATCAATTCGCGTACCACTCAAATTCTAAAACTAAATTAGGAGTAAACTTTTTTTTTAAATATATTTTTATTATTTATTCTTTTCTTAACATAATTTATTATTAAATATTTATGAAAGTAAAAATATCTTAATATTTAAATTTATTACAATTTTTAAATTTAATGTGATATTTGTTGTTGTTTATTTTTCACAAGAACATCAATATCAGGCTGAATGGAACTTATTTTCACTCTTAAGTTATTTTTAATATCGAGCCTACTTCTGTACTTATTTTTCAAATACAGCAATTTAGAAAATCCACTCTCACATAAATAAGTAGTGACAAATGGAGTTAAACATTGTAATGCTTGCTTGAAAAGTGATGGGTATTCTATTTTTGTTGACATCCAAAACGAAACCAATGTTTTTTCTTTAAATCAGTCTTTCATTGAGCTGTCACTTACTATATCAATGAATGATTCTCTGTCTTCAACATCTCCAGGAACTTCTTTCTCAGAAGATTCATACAAAAATGGGTTTCTAATCCAATTTTTCTTTGAATAGTCTTCAGAAAAATATTTTGAAAAATTTTTCTTAAGAACTTCCAAGTGTTCCAAGATTTCAACATTTAATTTTCCTTTAAAGAGAGTTCATTTTCATCGATAAATAAAGAAAGATTAGGAAATGCGAAAATGTCTTTTTTTTAATTGGGATTTATATAGATCCAATTTTCTTTTGAAAGAATTTATTTTATCATAAGTGGTGAATATTGTCATATTTATGCCTTGTAATCCCATATTTAAAGTGTTGAGCTTATCAAAAATATCGGCCAAGTAGGCTAATCTAGATAACCATTCTTCATTGTTAAACAAATTCTTCATGTCATCGTCTTTTTCAATCAAAAATAAATGAACTTCAGACCTCAGTTGAAACAATCTATTTAAAATTTTGCCACGAGATAACCATCTGACTTCTGTATGAAAAAGCAAAGTATTAAATTGTCCTCCCATTTCTTCACATAACAATTTGAACAGTCGAAAATTGAGGGCTCTAGCCTTAATGAAGTTAATGATCTTTACAGCGCATTTCAAAACAGAGGATAGTTGATCGGGCATATTTTTGGAAGCCAAAGCTTCTCATGTATCGCACAATGTGTGCTTTTACAATATGGCGCAACTTTCTGTATTCTCGATGCTAGGCCTGTCAATTTTCCACACATAGCTTGGGCTCCGTCTGTACAAATACCAACACATTTTTTCCAAGGCAAATTTATAGTTGACAAGTAACTGTCGATTATTTTAAAAATATTTTCAGCATTCGTATTCGATTTAAGTGATTTACAAAATAAATACTCCTCATTTAATACATTGTCAAAATCATACCGGATGAAAACAAGTAGCTGTGCCATATTTGTTATATCTGTACTCTCATCTACTTGGAGGGAAAAAATCGAACACATTTTTAGCTGAGTACCTAATATTTCTTCAATATTTGAAGCCATAGTATCAATTCTTCTTTTAATAGAATTGTTTGATAATGGAATTTTATCCAACTCTTTAGCAGCCTTTTCTCCTAAAACCGTTTGCACCATATCTTTAGCTGCAGGTAATATCAGCGTTTCACCAACTGTACGAAGCTTTCCATCTTTAACAATCCTAAGGCTAGCTAAATATGATGCTTTTAAATATTTGCTGTCAGAATTAGTGAAATGCGTCATACAATTGGATTCTTTTTTAAAAAATTCAGTTTTTTTTTTAAAAAACTCAATTGGTTTATTTTCCGTTTCAGGGTGTTTGGTTTTTTGGTGACGTTTTAGTAGCGAAGGTTTCATACTTTGGTTTGAAAGTGTCTCTTTACAAATAATGCATAGGGGAATAGGGTTTTCACTATTTTCTGTTTCCGGTATAACCACGAAGCCAAATTTTAAATAATTTAAATCGTACTTACGATTTGGCTGTGTTTTTGATTTTTTAGTTGTATTTCCAACGGAAGAAGTATCATCACCACACTTAAGAAATCTCTTCATAAGAAATAATTCATTAAAATGTTGTTCTTATATTATGAAATAATCGTTATCGCCAATTGAGTTAACTTTTAGTGCTGTACTTATCTGTCGGTAATCGTCCGTCATCCCGACGAAGGTACATTAAATATTATCGTAAATAATATAATATTACATAATAAAATGATCCGCCGTCCGTCGATAACGGCTTATGAGAAAACCATTCACATACCCCATACAAATATACAACGTAAACATAAATAAATATATATATATAATACAAATTAATTAATATTAGGTATAACATTTTACAAAATTGCCAGAAGATTATCATTATCTAAAATCTATACAACGATTAGCTTCGATTATAAACATCGTGTCATCGATATTTATAAAATTAGCTAATATCAAACAAAGTAAATTAAATAATATTGAATGTAAAAAGTAATAAAAACAATTATACAAAAAAATTTCTTCGCGTACCACCCACGATCTGTCCGCGTACCACGGGTTGGGAACCTTTGACTTAGCACATCAATTTTTTGCGAACGCAAATTGGCACAAGAATATAAAATTATTATTTTCTGATAGTGATTTGATAATTTATACACATATTTTAGATAACTGCAACTGGTCAATTTGCGCTCCGCTAACTGTGAGTTTCTTCTTATTTAACATTAATTGTTAGGCCAACTTGTTATTATTTATATTAATCCTGAGAAAGATTCTTATATATTTTATATTATATTTTTTAAACTGTGCTGCTATGAATTATTCCTCCGTTTACTTAAATTATTATTTGTTAATCAGCGATACAGCAAATTATTTACCATTTTCATATTATTATTTAGTCGAATAATTCTATGTTGCTGTGATTTATTCGTTGTGTTGTTATTTATTTATTACGGTACAGCAACATAGTTACCGTTGTATACAATTCTTTACCATTATTTAGTTACTCTTCTTCAATTAGTCTTGAATTACACACAATACATAGTTTTTCACCACATAGCTCACTAGTCACTGCGAGGTGAACCCCACTAATTCTAGTTAAGCTATAAAATCACTACACATTACACAAATACAGTCCACCGAGGTGGTGTGCAACACGCATAATTCGATGACTGTGCAAACGTCATATCATCTGATTCACCCGGCCCAAACAAAATGAGATTCACAAATAAATATGTATTATAAAATGTTTACCTAAATGTTTTAATTGTAAACAAATAAAACACTTCAAAGTCGAAACATATTTGAAAGACCATAAAACAAATAGAAAATGTTTTATTCGTTTTAGGCCTGTTTGTTTTTTTGTTTTTTGTTTTTTTTTTTTAAGTATTTGCTTCTTATCCAGATGAACTATGAAGACATTTTATTGTTTATAAACATTGTTGTAAATGAGCTTATTTCTATTGTGATCTAAATAGATTTTTGATGTACTATTTTCACTTTTATCTAGATAAAAAAATATTTATCTGGGTTCAATACAGATCATACCCACACTGAGAATGGTAAAACAGAGGTGGAGGGAACAGACGTGCCATGAGATGACCATCACCTTGGCCTCAGTGAATTTTTGTCAATGAGACGATCATGCCAATATCCCTATGCTGATAACAATAGCACACCGAGGTTATGACAGGAATATATTGCTTTAATCGAGAATAAATATCAAATCTGGCGCGTTGACCATCGCACGGAATAATAATGCCGTTTTTAAAGTGACCGATTCAACAATGACCGATTACGTAATGAGTAAATCTGTAATTCTTGAATCACCCAATTGATCGCATAGAAATTTTAATTCCCGCTACAAGTGTTACATTTAGAATTTAAAGTCTACTTCATTACTGCTTTTTTATATTTATATTTTATTATTATATTTATATTTATACTTTATTTTATTTTATTTTATATTTATATTTTTATACTTTTTTTTAATTACGCAACTCTTTTAACTTGCCTATTTCACCATAAAGACAACATTAATAAATTCAAATTAAAACAAACAAAACAAAATAAATAAATAAACTCCTAGAATAAGTGAGAGTCCGTAGTTGGGTATTATGCAGAAATGGGTGAATGGTATTGCTATATTGGTCTTTAAAAATTGAAACCAATGTTTATGTCAATTATTTTATGGATATTTAAAAAACATTAAAGAAACATGAAAATTAGAATTTTTTTTGTACAGCTCAAAAAAAATAAAATCGTTTGTTAATTATACCATCTACAGCTAACGATAATATAATCATTCAGTGAACATTTCACGTTTTTAATGTTATTATTATTTGAGTGATAACGAAAACAAGAATTACATTTTGTCAAAAATCAGTAATGAAAACATTTTTTTTTAACTTTACGTCAGTTTTTCGTAATTATAAATAAAATTTAATTGGAAAATTCGTAAAATGGCCCCGTTTTAAGTACTAATTAAACGAGTATTCCTATCACAAATCTCTCGTGGTTGTAATGATCAGAACAGTCCTTTTGATCAAAATCATGTAAACAAACTTAAAAAAAAAAAAAAATAGCACTTCACCAAATATTATACAATATTTAGAAGTGAGAATTTGAATCTTTTAAAAAACTTAAAATTAATATTTTAAGTTTTTTTTTAAATTTTATCTCAATTACTCAAAATGTTGTTAAAAAATTCAAAAAATAAACAACCTCCCTTCCAAAAGTATTATTTAGAACCCATTTATTTTCTTTTACTTTTTACTTGGTGGATGATAAGAGCACACATTTTTTTGCACCGTGTACACAGTACAAAAATATGAAAACACACTTCATGGTAAAACTAATGTACTCATCTTTCCACTCAGAACCTAAAAACAATAAATTTAATTTTTAAAATATAAACATGTCTTATATAATTTGTAGCTATAGATTAAATATCTAATATAATTAGAATTATCAATTCTTCCTTGATCACAATGGTTGAATCTTAGAGATATCAAACGATATGAACAGTAGCAACTTCGAAAGTGATTCCTATTTTAAGGTAAAAATATAACATAACGAACATTCAAAGCTTATCTTAATGTTATAATTAAGAGTAAAAAAAAATAGTAAAAAAAAATAATATTAGTAAAAATAAATAGTAAAAAAAATAGTAAAAAAATAAATAATGTATTTATCGTAAAATCACTAAGTTTCATATAAGTAATTTGTGAAATATTTTCTCTATGTTTTCATTATTATAACTATTACAAATAATTTCATCACTCGATAGTGATATTTTACAAAATCAAAGAAAAATCTACAAATCAACATAATATTTTGAAGTAGTATTTTTTAACCATGGTAATTTTTATTTTATGAGAATACTAAAACTAAACTTAAATCCCAAATATCTCATAAAAAAAATCTGAATTAAATTATTTTCTGGAAATAAATATTATTATATGTATATAGTATAAATATAAGTATAAGTATAAAATATAAGAATATAATATAATATTATAATATAAGTAATTATACTTGTATTACAAGATTTTCCGTAAAGTTTTATTAAAAATAATATGTATATATGTATGTCACTTATTTTTGATTTTAATTAAACATAATATTGTTTTAATTTAACAAAATAATTATTTTTTTTGAATAAATATAGAAAAATGTAAATCTAATAGAATTCATATAAATTGATACAAATAAATTATAATATAAATAGAAAATTATAAGCAAACTCGATGTTTTTGTATATTGGTGTCAAATTAACTAACACGAGAAAAAAATTCAAAGTGATGAAAAAGACTAACTTTTCATGTAATACATTTTATAAAACAAGTATAATTATATTTTTATTTAATTGTTTACTCATATAATATAATTATATATTTTAAAGTGATTTCCAAATTCTTTATTTTTAAATTACTTAATACAGTATCGAAACGAGAAAAATGTTTTCATCTTTCTCATATTCATTTTTGCCGTACACGCATTAAGTTCCACTGAAATTTGCTATTTCGATGTTATAACTTGTATGGATAAAAGTCTAAATTAATTGGCGGGGAAAGAGGAGACAGAGAGAATAGTGAATAAAAAGAGCGATACTATCGAATTATATATTTATATAAATAATTATATATATATTATATATTATGACGTATTTCACATTTAATACCGAATTAATTATGATTGAAAATTTTCAAGAACACCTCAAATAAAAAAAACTTCATACCTATTCAAAATTGATTAGAAATCCATAGTCCCATTATTAATAATGCCAATACGATAAAATCAGCGTGGTTACCTTAAAAGCGGCAATTTACAATATATTTCATGTAGTATTATTTTATCCTAAATTTGAAGTTGGGTTTAGTAAGAATCAACAATTTGTATATGTTTATAAATTATACCGAACGATTAAACTTAATACACAAAATATATGCATGTGGTAAGTATAAATAATAGCGATGCTATGTTTCTAATGGTTAACAGTCCACAGTAGTCATAATTATTTCTATTCTGTAAATTTTAAACATATTTTTATTATAACCTTCTGAATTTGATTCTTATGATTACTTCATCCTCTTAAACATTAATGCTGTGGTTTCGAATATAATAATAATAATAATAATAATAATAGTTTAAAATTACGATTTAGTGACAGAAAAAATAGTTTATAATATAAAGTATAAATTTTCTGCGTTGTATCATATCTGATGATAAAAGCGGAATACTATACTGTAGGTACTATCAACTTTATTCGAGAACATTGCACGTGCTATTGTGCGGTTTCGATATTTGTTATCGTTGTCGGCTATTTGTTTTTCCATTTCAATTCGGCGGAGGAAAAATGGCCATCTCACGGGGTCGAAAAACCTCGATCCCTTACGTTAAGTATACGAATACGTCATGCAACGATGTGATATCGAACGAATGTCATTTTTCCCTTACCGCGTATACATGTACAATACGATTTACGGAAAATGTTATCGTTATATATGTTACGCCATATACATATCATTGAATTAGATAATGTTGTTTTCAATATATATATTTCCGACACC